ATTGGACGGGGGAAGATAGTATTGACCGATTATCGAAGTCGACTGGGTCCAATTTTCAAACATTATCGGTTAATACTATCTTCCCCGTCCAAATAACCGATAATCGGTTAACACAGTATTAGGAAGCCGACAGGGTCCATGATTTGGTCTAGACCAGACCAGGAAATCAAAATATCATATAATACAGACCACGGACCAGACAAGACCATTCTTAACAATCTACGGTCTGAACCAAACTGTGCGCTCCAGTTTAGTCCATGGTTTTTCAAACGATCTGATCTATTTTATCGACAGGAAATGAATAAAGTGGATGATAATAATATTTAGTGAAATGAATAAAGTGGATGATGTGGCAGTTGGGGCCACATGAAATGAAAATGGTATTTCATGTGGATGGTCTAACAGAGTTGGTTGATTTGCAAGCAAAACCATTATCCTAGCGAGAAAGATTCGAAGTACCAAACTAATAAGAACGTAGAGGTGCCAATTGGATCGGATTCGTGGATTCGTGGATTGGATTGGTGGATCCATGGATCAAATGGATTGGATCCGGGATTAGATACTATGACAATACTCCTTGTGTTGTTATTGTAACAACACTAGTCTCCAACCAATAGGAAGCTAGGGTTGTGATGACTTTTTATTAGATGAGCTGACCTAGTGTAAAATCAAAGCAGGGGTATAATTGTCATTATGAAAAATATGTTTAAAAAAAATAAAAAATATTTTTTTATTTTCGGCCCAAAATTTTGGTCGCCGGAATTCTGTCGCCGGTCACCGGAATATGCTTTTTGTCACCGGAATATGCTATTTTGTCATCGGAATATGCCACTGTCGCCGGAATATGCTCACCGCGGTCAGAATATGCTTACCGGCGTCGGAATCTAGTCATCGGGGCCGGAATATGCCTATCGGCATCGGAATATGCTGACTGATGGTCACCGGAGTTCGGTCAACGACCACCGGATGTATGGTCTGCATTCTGAGATTTATGGTTTGGTTTCTCATATTTTCGTATGCCTTTTGTGGTTTGCTTTATCGTGTTTGTGGTTTGCATTGAGAAGTTTGGGATTTTTCCAGAAATAGCACCTTTTAAAAAAAATTACAAAATTAGCACCCATCCGAAAAAATTGACAGAAATAGCACCCTTTTTTATGGAACGCACCTTAGAGGTGCGTTTTATACATAAACCTCACCTCTCTGGTGCGGTTTATAGTCCTGGACCAAAATCGCATCTTGGCCAAGCGGTTTCAGGTCTGACCTATCAAAAACCGCTTGGCCGAGGTGCGATTTTCGCCTGACCTATCAAAACCGCACCATGAAGGTGCGGTTTGTTTCTCCCAAACAAAATCGCACCCCCAAGGTGCGGTTATACCATATAAACCGCACCCCCAAGGTGTAGGGGTGGGCAACGGGAAACGGGTATTTGGGTATACATGTACCCATCCCGTTTTTTAAGGGTTACGGGTACCCATATTGCCCATAATATTACAAACGGATGGGACTTGGGATTGTACATTCCTAATATGGGTACCCGCGGGTTACCCGCGAATACCCGTTTGGGTAATATGGGTACCTGTTATACCCATTCAATATAAATGCAGCCCAACCCAATTCAGAACCTATTGGCCAGGGCCCTTACCCTTTCAGTGAGACTCAGCTTCTTTGCTATAGATTTTAGCTTCTCATGAACCTAAAAATTTGGATACTTTCTGCATTCAGCAACACAAGAAAAGTAGCAGCATGCCTCCCATTTGGTTGTGTTGAATGAAACTTCTTATTTGATAATTTGGTGCTTGGAATGATTTATTTCTATGTGTTGTGATTGTTCATGAATGTGTTATTTGCAAACCGAGTATTTGTGATCGGGATGTATTTTGTGTCTTGTGATTGTTAAACAAATACAAGTTAAGTTTAAACTTTTGTTAAAATTTTAGTGGTTTAAACTTTGGGTATTATGGGTAGTATGGGTACCCGTTATCCGTCCCGTACGGGAAATGGGTACCCGGTTCCCATATGGGTTTGTGATATGGGATGGACTTTGGTCTCCAAACAGGATTGGGTACCTGTTTAAAACGGGACGGGTATCCCGTCCCGTCCCATTGCCCACCCCTACCACGGTGCGGTTTTAGTCAATTAAGTTCCGACATGCCATGCAGAATAACAGACGTGGGTCTGCATGGGCCTGCATGGCAGACGAAAACCGCAACTCTAAGGTGCGGTTTTCATCAGTGATTTTGCCTATAAAAGACTTCCCGGAAAACCATTTCTCTTCACACCTCTCCTTCTCCCTTTTCAATTTTCTGTTGTAGCTCTATATTTCTTTAGTAGTTTTGCGATTAACGTTAACTCGTAAGTTTATTTTGTATTACTTTTTATTGTTATTTTTTAATTTTGATTTTTATGATATTAACTGAACTACGGTTTTTTCGCAGATTGCATTCCAACCGTTCACACTTGGCTTACGGTGGAATGGTTACACGGAAGAGACCGGAAAGGGGGTCACCTACGTCGGTGGCAATTTTCAGAAGATAAAGGTCGCTACCAGACCGCAGCTTGAAGACCTCCATCAAATGTGCACTAACGTTACTTGCATGGATGGCACGAGAAGAGTTGATCGTATGGTGTACCGATATCCAAACAGCGAAAGTGGGTCATTGTGGCATGAGGATCTCTTAATACCCGATTTTTCCAGGTAATGGGAGGATATGATAATCGCTTAAAACCCCATTTCCTTAGACGTGCATCTCTTTATAAAGAGCCGAAGTAAGTGGCGCTATGTATTCGATTAAATTATTGAAAACAACCAACACGATTTAAAAATCAACATAAATTTATTTTATATTCCACTAAATACATTAACAAAATAAAAGAAGGACAAATGGTGAAGAATTGTATGTACCGGGTGATCGTTCCAAACATCCCTTGACCGATGGTTGGGTTCGTCGTACAAGTCGGTTGGATCCAATGGTCCTTGCTTGAGATAATACCGTTGGTTGTATAAATCAACGTCCTCCCCAACCTACGAGAAAATAACAACGAGGTTAGTACATTGATTAATTAAAAAGCTTATAACAATAACAAAAATTAAACCAGAATAATGAGTACGTACCGCTTGAAATTCAACGACATAAACTCCCTCTCCTTGCCACCAATCGGCCATTTTTTCGGGAAATTCGGACAGAGGTTTGGCTCGGGTCGGCGGGTTTTGAGGAAAAAACCAAATTTCGGATAGAGATTCGGCTCGGCGGGTTTTAAGGAAAATACCTAAGAAATGTTTTCTGATGGCAGATCGGACTTAGCCGCAACCAACAGACCACTATTTTCTAGGCTTTTGGGAGGGGAGGGTTTAGAGAGATAAATTCTAGAGAGAGAAGGAGAAATGGGTTGTGGTGTGAAGAAATGAGAGGGGAAGGGGGTATTTATACCCAACAGACCGCACCCTCCAGGGGCAGTCTGGTAATTTTGCCAGAGGAGAAAACGCACCCTTCCGGTGCGGTCTCTGCTTCCCGAGGCGCTGACCGCTCTGAAAAGATGTGTTTCGTGATTCAAGGCCCCAAACCGCTCCTCCTCGCTGCGTTCTGCGATCCACGGTGCGGATCGCTGACGTGGCATTGCTCCTGCCCGCTAGATCACCACACAATCCTGCGGTCTGCAAGGCCGCTGCCGACCAAACACAGAACGCACCTTGGAGGTGCGTTTCCCATTCTGACGTGGCGCAAACCGCACCTTAGAGGTGCGTTTTATGTAGGAAACGCACCCTTAGGGTGCGGTTTATATATAAAACGCACCTCTAAGGTGCGTTCCATTAAAAAAGGTGCTATTAGTGTAAATTTTTTCGGATGTGTGCTATTTTTGTAATTTTTTTTTAAAAGGTGCTATTATTCGAAAAATCCCGAGAAGTTTCTGGTTTGCTTTATCGTGTTTGTGGTTTGCATTGAGAAGTTTCTGGTTTGCTTTCGAAAATTTTGTGGTTTGCATTGAGGGATTTCTGGTTTGTTTTAATATATTTGTGGTCCGCATTAGGACGTTTATGGTTTGCTTTTTTGTGGTTTGATTTACTGTGTTTGTGGTTTGCATTAGGAAGTTTTCCGGTGTGCTTCGCAAATGTTGTGGTTTGCTTTGTGAGGTTTGTGGTTTGTTTTAAGAGATTTGTGGTATGCATTCGGAGGTTTTTGGTTTGCTTTATTGTGTTTCTGATTTGAATTAAGAAGTTTATGGTGTGCTTTCGAAAATATCATGGTTTGATTTGTGGGGTTTCTTATTTGTTTTAATATATTTTTGGTCTGCATTAGGGGGTTTGTGGTTTGCTTTATCGTGTTTGTGGTTGCATTATGAGGTTTCCGGTGTGCTTTCGGAATATTTGTGGTATGCTCTGTGGGGGTTTTTGGTTTGTTTTAGCAATGTGTTGTACAAATTTCTGTGGTTTTGTTTGTGAGGTTTCTGGTTTGTTTTAATAGATTTGTGTTCCGCATTAGGAAGAATCTGGTTGTTTTATGTGGTTTGCTTTGTCGTGTTTGTGGTTTGCATTATGTAGTTTTTTGTGTGCTTTTGAAAATTTTATGGTTTGCTTTGTGGTGTTTCTGGTATGTTTTAGGAAACTTGTAGTTTACAATAGGAGGCTTCTGGTATATGAGAAATATAAGAATGTATACCAAAAATACAATAATATATACCGATAATTCCTTAATAAATACTATAAAAGGTTGAATGAAAATGCATTCCATATTTGAAAAAGTGCATATAAAACAATACAATTGTATACTGAAACTCCTAAAATATTAAAAAAGAAATATGAAAATGAATACCATTATTCACAAAAAAAAAATATAACCACATAAGTTACATGGCATATGTGTAAACAAATGGCGGATCAGATCAACAGCTTCTTGATTAGACACCTGGGAATCGGAAAGGAGCGAAATCGAATCAGTTTTCCCCAATCAATACAAACGCCTCAACAGGAATTATGTACAAAGTGAGAATCAATCTCTCTTACCTTATCCCACAACCCATCGGAGGGCCAAGATCAGGAACTCGCAATCAGATTCAATCCTCACAACTCTGGTCTCCGGCTCGGCAACCACGAACTCCTTGAGATGCCCGTCGCCGATCCCTCTCGTCACGGCGAGAGATCCCTGAATCGTCCAAACACCCCTGGAGCAATCCACGTAACCGCCAAGGGCCTCCACTCGCTCCTTCTCGTCCGGGCGAGAAGCTTGATGGTCGGACGTGAGCGCCTCCGCCACTCCTCCCCTGCTCATCACGGCGCTGCAGTCGCCGGCGTTCGACACCACGAGGTTGCCATCGTTGATCAACGCTGTTACGCAGCACGCTCCGCCGTGAGCGTTTTCGTTGAGGAAATCAGCGTCAGTTTTCAAATACGCCTTCCTAATCGCCTCTTTGAATCCGTCAACGTCAGATCAAGACGACGAAGACGATACTTCAGCGGTGATGTTTTCCCCCAAATTCTTCGAAGCGAATTCAGCTGCTCTCGCGCCGCCGTGTCCGTCGAAGACTCCGAACATAACCTGCATCAACTGAGAAGCGGAATTGAGTGTTTTACCTAATTTTTTTTTTCTTCTTCTTTTAACCGCACCAAAGAGTGGCGGTGGCGGCGGATCCCAAGTTCAGAGTGGCGGTGGCGGCTGCCATTTCGTCGCTCATTAATAAAGAGGCCTCTCGATTTCACGGAAAGCAACTGCAAGAGATCGAGAGACGGAGAGGGGAAGGCTTGGGGATTGAATATTTATTTTTTGGGTTAATACCTTATTTTGGCCCGAACTATGACCATATAATCAACTTTGACCCGTGGTTTCATAAATTAACATTCTGGCCTCAACTATGCAGCATATAGACTCAATTGACCCGACACATAGTTTGACCGTCAATTTGGACGGTCAACTCCGTTGACCGTTAGTCAACATGCCATGTCATTGCCTAGTCAGCGTAAAAATCATTAAAAAATTTAAATTCAAATTATTTTCCTAATTTCTATTATTTATCATTTTCCAATTAACCAAAAAATAAAATTCTAAAAATATAAATAATTTTTTTGGGATATTTGAAAATGATAAATTTTACAAATTAACCAAAAATTATCAAATTAAATTTTATAAATTTAAAAATTATGATATAAATTATATTTTTGTGGGAAGTCTTAAAAATATAAAATAATTTGATAATTTTTGGTTAATTTATAAAATTTATCATTTTTCCAAATATACAAAAAATAAAAAATCAATTTATTTTTTGTTTTTTATAATTTATTTTTTGTTAATTTGATAATAAATAAGAAAAATTAGAAAAATAATTTGAATTTGCATTTTTTTAATAATTTTTAGGCTTAATAGGCAATGACATGGCGTGTTGACTAACTGTCAACGGAGTTGACCGTCCAAATTGACGGTCAAACTATGTGTCGGGCTAATTGAGTCTATATGCTGCATAGTTGATGCCGGGATGTTAATTTCTGAAACCACGGGCCAAAGTTAATTATATGGTCATAGTTCGGGCCAAAATAAGGTATTAACCCTTATTTTTTTAATTTTAATTTGTTATTTTGTGTTAGTTTACCCTTTTACCCTTAATGAATCTTGTTGTTATACTATCCGCTCCCATTGGATCCAATGGATTGGTGGATTCATGAATTGGATTGATCCATGAATCCAAATGACATCAAAGGCTTGGACCAAAATGTAAATTTTGAAAAGTTTTGGTACTAAAATGTCATAATGAAAAAATTTAGGTACTAAAATGTAATTTCTCAATGATATTTTTCGTATAAAAATATAAATTTTAGTTACAAAAATGTAAAATATAAAAATATAAGTACCAAATCGTAATTTACCATTTGGATCCATGGATTGATCCATGAATCCACCAATCCAATTGGATTTGAATCAAATGGATTGGATTAGGTGGATAATTTGGTGGATGAATTGGATTCATGGATTTGGATCCTAATTGCCACTTCTATAAGAACGGCAACAAAGAAAACTGCGTGCCTCTTCAATGTCCAATTGACCAATTCTATAAACATTTGTCACCAACCCACGAAGAACTCACTCACCACTACAACCAGAATCAAACAAGCAAATCAGAAAATACTTCTCAACTCAAAGACATCAACATCATCCTTGGCAAGAAACAAGGTGCAAAATTTACTCACCTCTGCAATCTGATCCTCATTTTTTTTTTTTTTTTATGAAACTGATAAACGCAATCTGATCCTCATTTACAGAACACATTGACAACCCAAAAGACATCTGTGCATTTACTTCCCCATTCGAAGTTAATCTGGTATTTCCACCGGCTGTATCTATGTGCTGCTTATGCAAAGAGCTTTTTACTTCCTCCTTTCCTCCAAACCCCACGCACAGGCAACCCTCCCGCAGCTCCATTACTATTGGTTCCATCCGAAGATGCTTTCCCTACTAAACCTGGATCCGGGTCAGGGTCAGAATTGTTCTTGTCTAAGATCGCTGCAATTGACCCATCACCCAGTCTCGCCCTATGGAACTTCGAAGTTTTCTTCTTTTTCATATTTTCACTAACCCCGTCCTTCGAACTCGGATGAGAACTAAATCCATCGCCAGATAATGTGGACCAAGGTTGACCACCTGATTCCCAGCCTTGCTTCTCAATAATTAACCTCGACGTGCCTTTAGAGTTCCGATAACCATCCTTGGATAAGACCTCGACCACCTCTTCCTCCACTGTTTTCTGTTGTTGCGACTGCAGTGTCCGAACCGTGTTCATAATGTTATCAGTTAATTTATCCCTTGCGCTGCTGTTGCCTTCAGAATATATCCCCTTGCCCTTTATATTAGTGTCTTTACCCTTTTCCTGGCGGCCATTCCTTCCCAAACTGGCAGCGTTATAGGTGTCAACCAGCTCCTTCTGCTTCTGGGGATCAGGGCAAAGTCTGGCCAACTCAAGAACAAGATGAGACAACCCATACTGCCGCACAAATACCAAGTATTTTTCAGTGTCAACGGAACCCTGGCGGTACTGACCGGAAATCTCTTTAAACGAAGCATACTTTGCCTCGTCATGATGTAGCACGTCGCGTATTTTCTCAACCAAAGATTTGTTTGCAGTGTGAACATCTCCAGCACTAAGCACAGCCTGCTGCTGACCCCCCAAGGGTGCTTTGTTAACTTGCATTGCAGAAACTGGAGGGAAATCTAAAGCAGAGGGCTTTTTAAGTAATCTACTACTCTCAGCGAGACTTGGGGCTGATGCAGAATGACTCATTCTGCTATTGGTGCTCACAAGATTGCCAGCAGAGATATATCCAGGAATTGATACAGGTGGACTTGCATGACTTGAAAGTGGAAGAGGTGCAATAGAAACACTGTGAGAGCTTGATGATACATTATTAATTATCGCGGGCCATTGCGATGAACTAGAACTAACACTACCAGAGAGCGGCACACGGGTTGTCGCCCATCCCTTGGCTGAGTTGACAACAGTTGCCTTTTTGTTCTTGCGTCTGAGATGGGCTGCCATACTGTTGTTTGGTAAACCTTCTGGTTCTTGTGTGGTCTTCTGCTGCTGGCTACTACTACTATTGGAACCCGTAGCAAGGGGAGGAAAGGCGGATTGCTGCACAGCTGCATTCCTACTATGCCCTAATGCTTGAAGATATCTTGAACGGATGGATGAGTCTGATAAATCTAATGAGTCTAGAGGCTCAGAGAGTATATCCATATTAACATCATCTCCAAGATCAGTTGTTTGTGTACCAGATGATGGCAATGGGGAATCAGCGTAGGATGTATCGAGGCTTGCCTGAATTGCCATGGAAAGTTGGTTATCAGAATCATCACGTCCAGATGGGCGGCCCCTTCCACGACGGGCATCTTGTTCACGATGAAACCGGAAGCTGGTTGGTATCTGAAATTGCAATCAATCACAAACTTATGAACAAACGAGAACAACCAACGAAGAACAAAAAAAAAACCATATTGAACAAATAGTATAGAGTAAGTAGAACCAGACACCCGGAATTGAATTAAAAGTATATGGAAACATATACATGCCTGTAGAGCAGCATTTCGCTTCGAACGGGACATACACCCACCATGTTCGATGGTATTATGCCTCTGAAAGATTCAAGAACAAAGGTTGATAAGTAACCCAGAAAAAAGAAGCACGACAACAGCATTGTTACAAGTTACAAGCACAACATCTATCCAGTCTCATGAACTTACGGACCTTCATTTCTGAATCACTTTGAAAAACAACAAACTTTTTGGCAAGACATGACTCATCCTCACAGAGGAAATGGTCTCCACGAAAGTGCATCTGCAAATAGAATAGTTTCACAAGTTTAGAAAGAGCAAGACTTGCATATAAAATAAAGTTTCAACCGTTTGGGTTAAACAACAATGATAAACTGGAGAGAAAAGAACAGAGCTCACCTCTAGGTCATCATAATTTCTGTAGTACTCATATTGTCCAGGGTGCTGCCTGTATTAGACATGAGCCACAGAGGTTAATTTCAGGAAGATGAAATAAATTATTCCAGCATTACTACAAATGAAGCAGTGGCATACCTTTCGCATATATGACAGGTATAATGGTCCCTGGACATATGTGAGTATAATTCATTATCACCGTAGAATGATGACTTGCAAAATTCACATTGGGGATGACCCATAAAGCCACCTCTTTCACTTTCACTACCATCAACCTCAGAGTCCCCTGTGCTGCTGTGCTGATTAAGTTGTGATCTAGAATACAGCTTCTGTTCATAAATAAATACCTGCAAATGACAGAGAAGCACAAGGGAGTCAAATAAGAAACAATTAAAAATCCCACTAACATATTCTGTCTCACGCACCAACATTTCAGGTTTAGTAGTAAGCATTATCAAACTGCACAGCAAAACAAGGCATCAACAGATGAACAAGCACAAATCCTTGTGTTGCAGTATAATAACAAGAAGACTATGAAGGAATTAACAGTGAGAAACCGAACCCTTTCAGGTTTGAGAAAAGTACAACCACATAACACTAAAAAAACCAACCAAACGTCACAAAAACATCAGAGAGTGGGTCATTACCTTCCTCCCTTCCAAACATAGGCTGCACATAAACAACTTATGTTTGTGAAACAAATGACCCTTCAGCTGTTCAATGTTCCTATACCCGGAGCGCCGCTTTGTACCATCATTTGTCTCCTCCATATTGTCACATACGCTGCACGAGAGTCTGCACATTGCCTTGATCATCTTGTAGTGGTCAAGATCATCAAAAAATGTCTGTGTATCTTCATGGTACCAATATGACCCATTCCTGCCCTCCCTAGGTTCAGATGGAAGGACTGCGAAGTTATTAATCATCCTCGTATAGTCTCCAAGAGCCTGCACATATCACAGGTTCCGAACATAAAATTGCCAGAACGAACACCAAATTCATTGAAGCAATCAATGACGACCCTTAGCGACATTCACCCACAGATCCTTCAGGGCTACATCCACTGAGCAGAACCAAGAACAAGTTAAAACTCGTTTCTTTATGACAACCATTACTGAAGTAACAAGCACTAAAACATAATCGCATGTGAGAAATCATTCAAACCAATTTCAGAATTCCTAACAACCCATCTTGGCAAACATCATATCAGTATCAAAGAAGCTGTCATGTCGACGCGGAGGAGGGCGAGCCGTCCTAACCTTAGTGACAAAAACGACGTCGGACTCCGTCTTGCAGATGCAGCAACGCCGATCCTCGCAGATGAAGCGGAGACGAACGACGCAGGTAGAGCAGACCTCGCGATGGCCGCAGGCGCCGTAGGCAACCCATTCCAAGGTATCAGCACACACAGCACAACTATCGTCCATATTACTCCGATCGGTCGCTCTTCGCCTCCCCTGGCTGAAACTAAGGAGAAAAATTTACTAAAAAAAAACTAGGGTGGACCACCGATTGGAAAGAAGGAGAGAGAGCCGGGGAAGATCGTGAGGTAAGGCAATCTAGGGTTTTTCGAGGAAGAGAACAATCAAAACGCGAACTGCAGAAAATATGAGGAGTGCACTGCCCACTGCGCACAGGATGAAGAAAGAAGAGAGATTTTGTGATTCCGAAAAGTATTTATGTATTAGTAATTACCCCTATTACATAAATATTAAATATCGGGAAGAAAAAAAGACGGGCTAATATCAATATATCATGGCAAAATTGATGAAAATAATGGAATAAATTTAGTTAATTCAAATTCTAAGCAGTTTATTAACAAATCTGGAAAAAGTTAGTAACTTAGTATACTAACACTACTTGTTTTTAGTATGGTGCTAATACTAGATTCAACCAATAAGAGTTTTTTGTTTTGATGATTTTTTAATTTAAATAAGTTGACCATAATTAATGAGTTGGAAGAACTAGGGGCACACTTTGTATTATGAAAATATGGGGGAAGTTGGGACCAACAAACACAAGAAACCACCCCACAAAAAACAACCTCACCACATCATAAGTCTCGTAAAGCACACCCAAGTTCTTAAAGCAGACCACAAATTCCATGAAGCACACCACAAATGAGCATACACAAGTCTTATAAAAACACACCACAAGTTTTTAAAAGATATCACTAGTTCTCTAAATTAGACCAAAATCCCCATAAAGCATACCACAAGTTTCTCAATAGTGGATCTAATGTAAATGTTAAAAAGTTCGGGCATCAAAATGTGGGAGAGAAAACTAACGAAACCAAAGTGGAGATCAATAAAGTAAAGGATGACTAAAGGGCTAATAAAATTGCCCACTTCCACCAAGTTTTGGATGAACGATACAAACAGCAAAGAGAACGACAGACCTGCCTTACTTTGCTTAATTCCTGGGTACAAGTGATCATCCAAATGCACGAGTGCGACCTCGATGAGGCAAGGTTTCCTTAACATAAGAAAGGGTACGTAGGCAGTTCGGCAAAAGACGTCAGGTTCAGTTATTCTCATTTGTCTCTATTTATTGGTGGGGAGGTATATGAAGGAACAAATTAGTAGTTCTGATGCTAGTAGTGACGTAGTAGAACTAATATGGCAGACTCGAATAGTTAGGTTACTACGCAAGGTTCGTCCACGGAGGGTGAGTCTGTTCCTCTCTCCTTCTAGTCGTGCCGACCTTTCTCACCTAAGATCGGGCCGAAAATTCATGATTAGAAGTTGGTTGGGGTATAGAGCCGTAAGCGCTATGGGGGTGATAGAGGACGTGCTTGTATGGTTCATAGAATGGTATGATCAACTTCATTGATTGTTGAGAACTTTCAATCCTTTATATTCGAAATATGCCTTTCTAGGAGCATTACGATCTGCAACTCAAATGGTCTCTTATGAATTATCTATTGGTCTTATTCTTATGGTGCTCCTTGTGAGCGTGTTTGGATCCATGAAGGCAATCGCACGGATGTTCCCCTAACCCAACTCGGGAATCGAGGGAACCGCAGCTAGGGGTGGGCAATGGGTTGGTCCACACCGGACCGAATTGATGTTTAGAGCGGACCACAACGAATTAAAAATACTGAAGAAAAATGGACCGAATTTACATTTGGACCAGACCAAATGGACCAAAGCGAACCGAATGCACTATTGGTTCGGTCCTAATATATCTTTTATTATTGAACCACGGTTCTCTTTAGTTTGGTCCAATCCAGTCCGGACCGATGCCCACCCCTAAACGCAGCATGCGGAATGTCTGCGTCTCGTCGCAAGGCTCATTTTGAGTTGAGGGTCAAGGGCGGGCATCTTTATCTGATCCAGGACCGAGGCACAAGGGTCCTAGTACAATCTAGGTGCAAAGAACCCCAGAAGTTGCTGCAATGAGCATAAATCTCACTCACCGACCTAAACGACAAGCAAACACTCGAACGCGACAACAAGGGATCACCCAACGAATGGACGAGCCCCAAGGAGGGAGGAAAAACGATTATTTCAAAGAAGTGGCGGTCCGAATCTTATCTGAACTGCAAGAATAACTTACTATGTCGTGCCATAAGGCCCATTCTCCAACTCCAAACGGCACGGAGCCAAGCCTTAACGGGTTTTAAGGAGGTTGGGTGACAAATCGTCCATAGGTGTACCCCGGGATATAACCAAGGCAACAAATGTCGATGATACGACGATAGCACTCGTTTTCATTTCATAGAAGTCCCCAACAGAGGAAAGGGATGTAGGTGATGGCGCATATTACTTTATATCTGGAGAGGGGGCTGGAATGGTTCCTATGGGGTCGTGCGTGGCAGCTAGTATTGATGAATAAGGGCGGGCTAAGCTTGAGGGACCTATTCTCTTTATAGGCGGCAAAGTTGAATAGGAAAGGGGATGAATGATGAGTGCCTTTTTTATTTTAGCCTTTAGAAAACGGCTCTCATGTGAAGCTAACATGGCTGGCTACATACAAGTATAGCTAAATCAAGATGAGACGGGACGGACGGTCAGAGGCCGCAGTGAAACTACCATAGGAAAGCCCGGCAATGCTAGCTACCATAGAAAGGGATTCCCAGATAACAGTTGTCTCTATGTGAATCTCTTCCCGACCAGACCAAGCCGAATCGGGCCACCACATGGGATGGGAATGGCTCAGCCCACATGCATTATTTGATGAAAGCACTCTAGTCAAGTCGCCTCCTCGAAGTAGCTTGTCAACCACGCTTTCCCTCCCTCAAAATAATGCTCTTCACCAAATGTCCTTCTTGGGGTTGGGGCAAGACAACAATGAGAAGTTCGCTCTAGGACTCCACTCCCTCGAGAGCAGGATGTCGGACGCAATGGAGCTGGAAGTCAACCTAAACTTTCTAAGGGCTTTCGGTGCCCCAATACTTAAAGAAAAGGTGGGCGCCGAAAAGGAGCCAGCCCAGCCTCTTCAAGAAAGCAAAGCTCGGAAGGCGCTGCCTACTCACTCAGACAATGCTCTAAACACAAAAGTGTGTAGTTGCGCCCCCTTCTCCCATGTCGAGTCACAGGTAACGCCTTGGAAAGCACGAACGAGCCACATGCAAGGAAACTTGCACGTGTGGTTCTGGCTGGGGACCCTAGTATACTGTACTAATATGTGTAGGTCCCCGTAATTCGAGTGAGATTGTTATGGTGCAAAAGCAGATATGGTATGGTATTCCCTTGTTCCCACTGGTGGATCCAGGGGGTGGCCACCCCGGGCCACGGCCCAGCCCTCCTCTGGATCCGGACCTAGTATAGCCCTTATGAGTTTACCAATTTTAGTCATTTGGCCAAGTATTATTTTATAATAAGATTATGTGTAATTGAGAAAATGCGTTAGATGGATATAAACAAATCAAAACTCTAAATTTAGCCTAGAAATTCTAGCTCCAATGATTCTCTTCTAAAGAAAAACAAACAATGTAACCTAAAATTCTAAGAGTCTAAAACGTAAAAGCTTAAAGAACTGAGATTTGATCCCTTGAAAAATTACTAGAGTAGCTGGTGGAAATATGGATGAACACACAATACAAATTGATTAGTCGATTGATATGTCTAGTGTTGACATTGCCCATTTCAACAACTACTATGGAGAAAACCTTTTCAACAATGGAAGAGGTGAAATATGATTTGCGCAACTAAAAGAAGAGCAAAAAATTTCTCGTTGATTGGTTAACTATTTTATTTGAAGGAGATTATTATGCTATTGGTATGGATGTAGACTCCATTATTGATGACTTCGCTATATTAAAAGATCGATGTGTACAATTGATATTGTAAAAAAAAAGGGTTAATAGCATAAATTGCCCCTCTACTATGGTTTTTTCTCAAACATGCCCCTCTACTATGTTTTACATCAAATTTGCCCTTCTACTATTATCACGATATCAAACCTGCCCTTCTGTGAATATTTTCGTTTGGGTTCCGTTAAATCCGGTTCGACCGGTTCGAAGTAGGAAAAGCGAGAGGGGGAAGGTCAAATTTACCCCTCCCTTTGGATTACCTGCATCAATGTATCTTTCCCTCTCCAAAGAGACGTCATTGTGAAGCCAACGCCGGACCTTTTCAACTTCCTCCCCTCCGTTCTCCAAACCCTGCCTCTGTCTCACTGCTGGTTTGCCTAGCCGTCATCGACCACGTCGACTCATGATTCCCAAATAGCCCACTGAAACCCTAAATTTTAATTTCGAAATCACCTGCAGCAGGCTGACAAATCAACAGCAACACTCCGATGAGTGATTAAGGGTCCGCGTGGGCGATTCTTGAAGGCGCGGAGTGAAAGTTCAAAGCTTTCTTCGTTTTGCCTTGGAGACTAGAGTAGAGAAGGTAATTTTTGATTCTTTAAAAGGCAACCAACGTGTCTTTTACAAGTACCACCCATTTGAAAACGACAAATCAGTTAATAGAAAATTGATTCTTTTGGTTGTAGGACCACTTGAGTAGAACGCTTGTGGTCACTTTTTCTTGAAATTGAAGTGGGCAAAAGCTCTTTCTCTGTTGCAATTTTGTTTGAAATAATATTTTATTGTGGTAGGTTGGTGGATAATTAAGAGTTGGAGTTTTGTTACAGGGCTCACAATGAGCAATCTAACACTTGTCATTCATGCCGGAGGACAATTTAAGAAGATTGGAGATGATTTAGTATATGAAGGAGGAGAAGAATTGCCCATTTCTACCATAGATCCTGACTTGATTTGTATTTGGGACCTGAACAACATGTTAAGATATGACGAAAAGTACACAGATGATTTTCAACTCTACTTCAGAAAGTCTAATGCTGAAGGGACAGATGCTTGGAGACTACTATATGATGACACATCTATTTTGGAGTTTCTAGAACAATTTAAAGGCAAAAATGAATATCATGTCTAGGCTAAACACATGGTATCTATTTCTGAGAAGGTAACTTGATGGTTTCTAATTGATTTAGCTTTTTATGAATAGTTCATTTAGCTTTGGGTTACAGTATCTTTTGGATTTGGCAACTTTGGTTAATATCTATTGAAAGAGAAAACATATTTATATAGTAGAAGTTTATATTACTAAAGTAGGGAAGTCTCTTTTAATTTGTTATTTTTTTTAGCATAATCCAAAAATGGGACGCCTCTTTTAAATGGGTAAGTGGGGAAGTTACACAGGTGCGTGTAAACCATAGGGAGGGGTAAATTGGACATTTCCTCTCCCAGTTTTCCTACTTCGAACCGGTCGAACCAGATTTAACGTCACCCGAACGGAATTATTCACAGAAGGGCGGGTTTGATATCGTGATAATAGTACGAGGGCAAATTTGGTATAAAACATAATAGAGGGGTATGTTTGAGAAAAAACAATAGTAGAGGGACAATTTATGCTATTAACCCTAAAAAAAACTATGATTTTTTTATAGTATCTAATTTTCTAATGAAATGCGGCCCAGTGCACTACTATGTCCTAGATCCGCCGCTGCTTGTTCCATTTATTGGTTATGTTCCTCATTTCTTGTCTAGCAGAAACTAATCGAGCTCTGTTTGATCCCCCGGAAGAGGAAGTTGAATCAGTTGCAGGCTATAATGTAGAATATGGGCGGGATGCGATCCTTAATAGTCCACTGTTGGCGGAAGCCAATGTCCCGGGGTCCCGGGGACTCATTCTGACTGAAACAAGGGGTGGGTCTTTACCAATTTGAAAAATATTCGACCAAAAAAGTGGAGCGCCTAGCGCGAGCCTTATTGAAAAGGCCCCTTACTATAGATGGGGCGTCCCTGCAATCAAACTCAAGGAAAGCCTTGATCGATACCTTTTGACAACCTTACTAATAGAAAGGGGAAAAATGCGTTCAAACAACCTATCTTACTAATAATAGGGCCCTATCATTGTAAAGCTACAGCTCGAAAGCCGGCCTTACTTTACTTACCTTCTATTCTAAAAGGGCTTTTAGGCTTTACTTTACTAATAGAATAGATAATAGGACTTTTTTCTTCCTTGTTTAGTAAAGTCAAGCTTTTCATTTTGATAGGAGTAGGTGCTTTCTGGGGCCAGGCACTCTTCATTCGAAACTAATGAATGTCCGGTCGGGGGTTTCTGCCTTGTTATCAAAAAGGGAGTTGGGTAAAGCAAACTCCCTCCCTTGGACGAGCACGAGGCTTAGTCAAGTAGAACCGGGTTGCGCTGCTTGATGCTCCGATCGAAAACAAATCCATGGGGCCATGCCGGTATGACTGAATATGCGTTAGAAAGGCCAATCCCTCCCATACGACACCAAAAAAACTGGGCCTTCTACCCTATGCTTTCATATAATATATCCTGGCAACGTAGACGTAAGTGGTATCATATTGGATCCTTGGGAACTATCACAAGTACGTAGGCCTATATTTGAACGAGAATGTCGTGTCATCCAACGGAGCCTAGAAGAAGGTGACTCGTGCAGACAGATGACTCCTTTTCAATATAAAAAAGGAATAGCCAAACCAACCCAACTATCTGGTCAATCTCAAAGATCTTTTCGGCCGAAAAACTGGAGAAGGACAACCTCGGTCCCGACCTTACCATCACAGAGGTGTACTAATCAATGAATCCCCGAAGCAACTTGTAGCACCTATACTAGGTTTTAGGAGCTTCAAAAAGGCGAGCCCCTCTCAGAGAAAGCCATTGCGCGCTAGCCTAGCTAGTTAGTATTTTTCAGTTGGCTATTATGTCAGTTGTAGCGCGACTTCCCTCCTTCTCCTTCTCTCACTACGGAAAGATTTTTGAAGTATTTTCTTTTGGTTACCTAGTCGAGGGAGTACGATACATTGGTGTAAAAGATTCAGTGAGATATGTGAGGTTTATAGTATGATTTCATAGCTAGGAAGCCAATGACGGCTAGGAGGAAGGTTCCAATGCCCATTATTAAATCGCTTACGTCAGCATGGTCTGGGAGACCTCTTTCCCTTAGAACAGTGACCTCGTACCTATAGCTGATCCATAGGGCGTAGGGACTTCACTTCTATTTGGCATTTATACTTCTTTCTTGGTTCTATCCAGTTTTAGCTAATCCGCCTCTGAGACAAATAGCAGACCTTAGACGCCTATAAGCCCGGGGTATTCAAACCACTATTTCAAACCAGACGGGGGTAGCGCTTTCCTTCACTCTTTTGTTCGTCTAGCCAAGCCAAGGTTGCTTTATTATATGGCTGGTTGAGTTCTTTCCAGAAGGGCTTCATGATCTCTCTAAGCAAACAACCGACTTCTTCTTCTTCTTCTAAAAAAGAAAGAAAGACTATCATTAAAGGAGAATAAATATTTCTAGCGATTCATTTCCTAGGGTTAAACATGACTCCTTGACTTAAACCACGACTCGAGGTTGCTCTCTCCGACGTTTCCTCTCCACGCCCCTTAGTTTTAACCTAATTCTGGAAGAGGCGGTGAGTTGATATTAAGGTGTCAAGGCGGTCGAATAAGGCCACAAGTGGAAGCAACTGATGCTTTGGTCATTCAATTGACTCCTTGCTCTCAATCTGGATCTTCAGCAGGGGTTTCTGCCGGTTTTACCTTCTATTGGATTTGAACCAATGAATCTCGCCGTATGAAAGCGATACTCTAACCGCTGAGTCAAGTAGGTTAAGCTGATTCAAGTCAGAGAAAAGAAAATAGACCCCTATAAGAGAAAGCCGTGCAACCATAGTTCCCCAACATATACAAAAGAGGGGGGAGGGGAGCCTAAGAAACAGAAAGCATTATCAATATACAAAATGAAGCAGCGACTAGCACGCTAAGATCAACCACTTAGAGATCATGGATCCTTTCTTTCTCGGTCGTTTGTCTTAATATAAGTGGATTCTGATTCATGCGGTCGTTCTCTACTGCATTGGTGTTTTCACTCCCCACTCTCCACCATAACAAAATGTTTCCACTATAAATCTCAAAACTAGTCAAAGGAAGTACAACGGGCTTTAGGAAAAAATAACCCATGGTAAGAAAAAATTGACTAAGAACTAGGGCATATAACAATGGATCAATTCATTCGACAAGATCCGGGTGGATCAGACCAGGATGAATGGGATTGGTCTGACCTCTCGCTCGGATGTAAGACTCTCGCTGCCGACAGATGTCCCATGCCACGTTTCATGAACAGCTATGCCCGAGAATGAATTGTGATATAGCGCCGAATAAGCCACTACTCACTTCCCTCCCGACTCAAAATCTATAAAAGGACTTTAAGGGAGAGAAAATAGGGGGCCCTACACCATAATTCATGCTGCCTTGGGATGACAGCACGTTACGTCATAGCAGTACCACTAAATGAAGGCAGAAACCCCTTGTATAGGTGAAGTTCCTTAGGCATCCTGCAAAAAATCCTTACTATATAGATAGATAGGGCGTTAGCGCTTTATTTTTCAAGAAGGACATTTAGTCTTTGCTAATAACATAGAAAGGGCTTTTTCAGCTTACTCTGCAATAGCGGACCGTTAACAGGGTGCCGTGATTTGTGGGCTTGAAGGACTTAATTAGCACAGTGACAAGTGAGATCAGAACCAAAGGTTAGGCCAAGCCATGGCTGGTGGGAAGAACCCGTAGGATAGTGCCGTCAAAGAGGCGCGACGGAGATGGTCGAATCAAGCAAAATCAACGACACTCATTGGAAATTGGTGCGCCAGTTATGGTAAACAAACCCATCAATATTGTGAAGAGCGATAATCATTCTATACCAAGTCATCATCATAATGAGCAAAGGAATAATGAGTATGAAGAAATCTCGCCTATGGAAGGTGTACTTTTGGGTACTTGTTGTGAAGAGTATGAAGATTTTAATGCATAAATTGGGAATAGGGATGGGAAAAATATCTGTAACCGTGGATATCCACCCGAATCCGGCCTAATCGGGTAGGGTAAAACTCGAACCCGAAGGACATTTAGTGGGTATGGGTAAAGCCCGAAACCGAATATTGCGGGTAATGGGTGGGCATGGGTTCTCACTATCCAACCCGAACACGCCCGATTATACACATGGACATGTATTTTGTCTAGAAATAATCATTATTTTCTCTAACATATTTTATATTTAGCATATAAATATAACATTTTCATGAAATTATATTATTTTAATTAATTTTCTTCATTCTGGTGAAGTATTATTGTACTTTTCCTCTTAGGTAATGTGAGAATACGTATGAATGTCAACATATTGGTTGGAGTTATGAAGAGAAATTATTACCCATAGATAACCGTGGATATCCGAAACCTGAACGGGTATGAGCATGGTTTTGATTTTCTACCCGTTTTACATGTGGGTTTGGATATGGATAAAACTCGAACTACTTTGGGTAGGGTAACGAATATGTATTATCTGCTCTCGACCCGACCCATTGCCATCCCTAGTTGCAAATGAAGCTGTTCTTGTTGATGTGCCAGTGTTGAGTGCACCTGAAGATGAAAACATTGACAAATCAGAATTCAATTGAGAAGATGAATGCTTGGAAGTTATGTAGCATTTACCAATTATTCATGAATTTGCTCCTATGGATTTTGTGATTGGAGATACTATTTCCGAAGAGGAAGCCCGGCTAGAGAATCGACGAGAAGTTCATATCTACGTGGAGGGTTTTCATAATTACGGTTTCTCTACAATTCGTGGACGAATTGTTCTTAAGAAGGGGGGAATAATACGACCCTCACCAAGACAATTTTTCTCGAAGTTCAAGAAGAGCTGATTGAGGATCAAGATTCTATAAGGATTCGAGGTCGAATCTTCTTCAAGAAAGAGGGAATGATGAGATATCGACTAGCGCGATATTTAATTCCCGTGGTTAAAAATGAAATTCAAATTGACGATTTAAAAATCAATTGGGAGCGTTCGTAATGGACAAATGCGCTTATAACAATGCATGGACAAAGAAGACAATAATTATTATCGCAATTAAAAGGGTGGCACTTGGAAGATTAACGTGGAAAGCTGACTTTGATGAAATCTAGACGTGTGTCATGCGATGATGATTGCAAGGATTAATGGTTTTGTGGAAGCACATGAGATGGTGACGTGGCATGGAAGGAAGTTTGCAAATTGGAATTGTACAAAAAAGAATTCAGAGATGCATTGCTGGACGTGCATCATTTAGAGAGGATTCATACATGAAAAAGCCACGTGAGCAACAATTAAAGAGACATCCGCAGCTGATACGGAAACCGGCGGACCGGAATTCATTCCGCAAGGCAAAAGGAAAAGCGCTGCAGCGCGCGGTGACTTGGATATTTATTTTGGTTACGTAGGAGTTTAATTAGTATTTTTTGTCCTATTATGTTAGTTTGAGATTTGTTTTATTATTCCTTTTAGGTTAGTTTTATGTTTTGAGACCTCTATAAATAGAGGGTGTAAGACCTACTAATTTTGTACCCAGTACCCAATATTCATAAATCAATTACATTGAGTGTTTACTCGAGTTCTTTTGTGAACGTTTTTGCTTAATCTCTCCTTTGGTGATTCGGGATAATTGAGTGGTCTCTTATCAATTAGAGAACGTGTCTAGTTGTGGCGAGCATCTACCCTATCTCAATTGTCCGTTTTCACGAGTTGATTCTATTCGATTGGTTTAATATACCA